GAAGGAAGGAAGGAAGGAAGGACCCCCGAAAGGACTTGGCTGGCTGCCGGGGAAGGGGAAGGGGGCGGCTCCTGGGAAATGGAAATTTCCAAGCCGCCGCTTTGACCGCGCGGGCTCGCTGATGTCATTTCCCACTCGGGTCGCTTGGAATCACCGCTCGGCTCGTTTTGTCTTGCAGAAAAAGAGAGGAGTGGATCATGGTCCTGCAGCGGTCCGGAATGCGGGACTGGTCGGAAAGCTCTCCGGCATGGGTAAGTGGGAAGGGTGGGATGGGAAGCAACCTACCTTTTGGGAAAGGATCCGAGTTCTCCCCTTTCTGGTCTGGGGTTGCTTCTCCACCCAGTCACGTATATGACATGATTCATCGTATATGACATGATTCATCGTGAATCCATCGTTTGAAACAATGAAGTCATTGTTCAACCTGGTGTCCTCCAGATAGTTGGGCGCCCATCATTCTCAGGCTGCCCAGCCATTGGGTGTTGGCCTTTGGGAGGCATGGCAATGGAAGCCTTGGGACAATCCTCACTCGGTCTGTTTAAGGAAAGGAAAAGCAGATGTGTTTGTGGGATAATGGTATATTGCCCTCAAAAGCTGCAGTCCATCCTCTCAGGAATTCCCTGACTCAGTAGGGTGGGGTGGGGAATCATGGAAAGGTGTACTTCCACACATCTGAAGGACATCATTGTGGAGAAGGCTAGGAGGGTGGCTTGTGAAATCCTAATCATTCTCAAGGCATAGACAAGATCTTCAAAGGTGATTGAATAGTTTGAAGCAAGCGTAAATAAGTGATTAAATAATTTGAAGCAGAGTTAAATAATTCCAAAAATGCATCAGTCTTCTTGAAACCGCCTGAAATTCTTCCTAATCTCTAAGTTAAATATGAACTCAGTACAGTCCTCCCTCTGAAACCATCCGATTACCACAAAGATACATAACTAGCATAGTAAGGGTTCTTTTATCCAGGTTATCTTGAATTAAAGCACAAGTCATATGTTTACACTAGCTGATATGTACTTATTCATCTGGAGCTTAGCTTTGTGAGAGTCAGTAAAAATGATGAGTAGTTACGGCATTCCAGAGATTCTTGAAAGAAAACTGAAATTCACAGTTTAATAATACTTTAGTGTAAAAAGTAAATATCTTGTTTGTGAGGATGACTGCAATACATATCCACTATTGATTAAGAAGTTCCATCAAACATTTTAACTGCTAATTCGTTTTATTAGGGGAGCTGTTGTCCCAGTCGATAAAGAATAGTTTAAAACTATTCAAAAATAGTGAAAAACGTTTAGGGAAAAGGTCAGTAAACTTTCTGTGAAGCTAGAATTGTGAAAACAGCTTTAACTGTAAAGACTGACTAAACCTTGATTGTGAAAACTGAGTACGTCATAACTATTGAGTAAAAAGAAAAGGAGGAAGTAACCTAAGAAGTGTATGTGTAGGAAAAGCCCATAAGATAGTTGTCTATGGAGGAGGGAAGAAATATATAATATTTAACTGGCAAATAAATAGAATCCTTTTTAGTAAGGTACCTAAGGTGAGGACTAGGTTATCAGCCTAAACTGCACTCATGCTATATGCAGCATTCCCTGCTTATAGTGTCCCAATCATTTTGGGCACATTTTGACTACAAGTGCATACACAAATCTTCATGTCCAAGAAAAAAAAATGGTGAAAAGGCGATAATAAATGCTCTGAAAATGTTGAAAGGTAAGGCTGAAGATGTAGATGATGTAACTCAGAAATGTGAAAATAAAGATGTGGTTCGCTTGTGGAGGCACTGTGTGATTTGTTTAATTTATGTGAGAATGCTACATCTATGGCTGACAATTGGAATAATGCTGTATTGTTGGCTGAGAATATCAAAATGATTTGCAGCAAATGTTAAAGTGACTACAGGTAGTCCTCGACTTACGACTATTTGTTCAGCAACCATTTGAAGTTATGGCAGTGCTGAACAAAGGGTCTTATGACCCGTTCCTGAGGTTATGGCTGTTGCAGCACCCCTGCAGTTACATGATCAAAATTTGGGCACTTGGCAACCCACCTGTCTTTATGGCCACAGGAGTGCTTCAGCTCCCCCACCTGCCCATTTCCCCCCAGCTATGCCCTTTTGGCCCCCTGCACTTTGCAGCTCCTGTCGTCCTAGCTGACATTTGCTGTTGTCTTCTTCCTGCTGCTGACCAAGCATGCCCAGCCTAGTCCTTTGCAAGGCAGCTGCTGGCCTCATGAGACTTTCTTCCCAAGGTCGCACATGGCAGTTTCCTCGCAAGGCCTGGGGAAGATGCCCTCACATGGCCAGCAGTTGCCTTACGAAGGGCCAGAGTGGGCATGCCTCATCAGCAGCAGGAGCAAGAAGATGGCGAAATCAGTTGGGGCAATGGAGCGCAGGGCGGCAGGGGCCTCAGAGTGCAGGGTGACAAGGGCAACTGCAGTTTTGAGCCATGCTGCTGGGGCTTCCCAGGGCGCTGTGGCTTTGCATTGCATTGCAGCTCGGGCTTCTTGCAGCCCAGAACCACAGTGCGCCAAGAAGCCCCTGAGCTGCAGTGTAGCAAGCAGCCCCAAAGCTACATGGTTCTGGGGCTGCTTGCTGCCCCATAAGGCAGAGTGCAGGGCAGTCAAAAGGGCAGAGATGGGGGAAGATAGGCAGGTGGGGGGAGTTGAAGAGGAGGCAGTCCATTACCTTAGCAAGGCTTGGGGCTGGGAGGGACCAAGCCCGGAATGGCTTGGATTGGGATGGGTCCTCGGCTAATGACTGGTGGAATTTGGTTAATGACAGCAATAGGGAGTGTTGGGATTGTTGTCGCTAAGTGATGCAGTCACATGATGTCGCACTTTACAACTGCATTGCTTTGCAATGGAAATTCTGGTCCCAATTACCATAGTAAGTTGAGGACTACCTGTAAATGATACAACAAGAAGGATGGATCTGAAAATTAATGTACCAAAGTAGTTGTGCTTGACAGGGAAAATGGAGTTATACACAAATTGCAAAAAAAAAAAGTGTAACTTGATAGTCTCTATAAATGTGATGGGAGGCATGAACGGGGAAGGTTCTGGAATGGAGCTTCAAGGTTGCCAGGAAGGGGAAGAGACATTCCAGGGGAAGCACCTCCTCAGTCCCAAGCCAGAGTATGGGAAAGCCAAGAGAATGAGACTGGCCCCTCCCTAGGGCATTGTGGTTATAGTTACTGTTGTGGTATAAATTTAGTCTGGTGAGATTCTGTCTATTAGGTGTAAGCTAATAAAGGAGCCAAACTGTTCTGGACTGTCTCGCTGTCATTCTTGGGCTGAACCTGACATCAATCTCAGATGTCAGGTTCCATGATGCCCTAGGGAAGGGCCAGTCTCGTTCTCTTGGCTTTCCCACACTCCGGCTGGGGACTGAGGAGG